GTGTACTGTCATTTGGTTTCTTTATTGACTAACCAGTGTCGGTATCATTTGGTTTTCTATTGACTAACCAGTGTACTGTCATTTGGTTTCTATTTGACTAACCAGTGTCGCGTCATTTGGTTTCTATTGACTAACCAGTGTCGCGTCATTTGTTTTCTATTGACTAACCAGTGTCGTGTCATTTGGTTTCTCTTGACTAACCAGTGTCGTGTCATTTGGTTTCTCTTGAGTAACCAGTGTCGTGTCATTTGGTTTCTCTTGAGTAACCAGTGTCGCGTCATTTGGCTTCTATTGACTAACCAGTGTCGTGTCATTTGATTTCTATTGACTAACCAGTGTCGAGTCATTTGGTTTCTCTTGACTGACCAGTGTCGTGTCATTTGGTTTCTTTTGACTAGCCAGTGTCGTTTCATTTGGTTTCTCTTTATTAACCAGTGTCGAGTCATTTGGTTTCTCTTGACTAACCAGTGTGGTGTCATTTGGTTTCTCTTGACTAACCAGTGTCGCGTCATTTGGCTTCTCTTGATTAACCAGTGTCGTGTCATTTGGTTTCTCTTGACTAACCAGTGTCGTAGTATTTGGTTTCTCTGGACTAACCAGTGTCGTGCCATTTGGTTTCTCTTGACTAACAAGTGTTGCGTCATTTGGCTTCTCTTGATAAACCAGTGTCGTGTCATTTGGTTTCTCTTGATTAACCAGTGTCGTGTCATTTGGTTTCTCTTGACTAACCAGTGTCGTGGCATTTGGTTTCTCTTGACTAACAAGTGTCGTGTCATTTGGTTTCTCTAGACTAACCAGTGTCGTGGCATTTGTTTTCTCTTCACTAACCAGTGTCGTGTCATTTAGTTTTTATTGACTAACCAGTTTCGTGTCATTTGGTTTCTGTTGACTAACCAGTGTCGTGTCATTTGTTTTCTCTTGACTAACCAGTGTCGTGGCATTTGGTTTCACTTCACTAACCAGTGTCGTGGTATTTGCTTTCTCTTGACTAACCAGTGTCGTGTCATTTGGTTTCTCTTGACTAACCAGTGTCGTGGCATTTGGCTTCTCTTGACTAACCAGTGTCGTGTCATTTGGTTTCTCTTGACTAACCAGTGTCGTCTCATTTGGTTTCTCTTGACTGACCAGTGTCGCGTCATTTGGTTTCTCTTGACTAACCAGTGTTGCGTCATTTGGCTTCTCTTGACTAACCAGTGTCGTGTCATTTGGTTTCTCTTGACTAACCAGTGTCGTGTCATTTGGTTTCTCTTGACTAACCAGTGTCGTGTCATTTGGTTTCTCTAGACTAACCAGTGTCGTGGCATTTGGTTTCTCTAGACTAACCAGTGTCGTGTCATTTGGTTTCTCTTGACTAACCAGTGTCGTGGCATTTGGTTTCTCTAGACTAACCAGTGTCGTGTCATTTGGTTTCTCTTGACTATCCAGTGTCGCGTCATTTGGTTTCTCTTGATTAACAAGTGTCGTGTCATTTGGTTTCTCTTGACTAACCAGTGCCGTAGTATTTGGTTTCTCTGGACTAACCAGTGTCGTGTCATTTGGTTTCTCTTGACTAACAAGTGTTGCGTCATTTGGCTTCTCTTGATAAACCAGTGTCGTGTCATTTGGTTTCTCTTGATTAACCAGTGTCGTGTCATTTTGTTTCTCTTGACTAACCAGTGTCGTGCCATTTTGTTTCTATTGACTAACCAGTTTCGTGTCATTTGGTTTCTGTTGACTAACCAGTGTCGTGTCATTTGGTTTCTCTTGACTAACCAGTGTCGCGTCATTTGGCTTCTCTTGACTAACCAGTGTCGTGTCATTTGGTTTCTATTGACTAACCAGTGTACTGTCATTTGGTTTCTCTTGACTAACCAGTGTCGTGTCATTTGGTTTCTCTTTATTAACCAGTGTCGTGTCATTTGGTTTCTCTTGATTAACCAGTGTCGTGTCATTTGGTTTTTCTTGACTAACCAGTGTCGTGGCATTTGGTTTCTCTAGACTAACCAGTGTCGTGTCATTTGGTTTCTCTAGACTATCCAGTGTCGTGTCATTTGGTTTCTCTTTATTAACCAGTGACGTGCCATTTGGTTTTTTTGACTAACCAGTGTCATGTCATTTGTTTTATCTTGACTAACCAGTGTCGTGTCATTTAGTTTCTATTGACTAACCAGTGTCGTGTCATTTGGTTTTCATTGACTAACCAGTGTCGTGTCATTTAGTTTCTATTGACTAACCAGTGTCGTGTCATTTGGTTTTCATTGACTAACTAGTGTCGTGTCATTTGGTTTCTATTGACTAACCAGTGTCGTGTCATTTGTTTTCTCTTGACTAACCAGTGTCGTGGCATTTGGTTTCACTTCACTAACCAGTGTCGTGTCATTTAGTTTCTCTTGACTAACCAGTTTCGTGTCATTTGGTTTCTCTCGACTAACCAGTGTCGTCTCATCTGGTTTCTCTTGACTAACCAGTGTCGTGTCATTTGGTTTCTGTTGACTAACCAGTGTCGTAGTATTTGGTTTCTCTTGACTAACCAGTGTCGTGTCATTTAGTTTTCATTGACTAACTAGTGTCGTGTCATTTGGTTTCTATTGACTAACTAGTGTCGTGTCATTTGGTTTCTCTTGACTAACTAGTGTCGTGTCATTTGTTTTCTCTTGACTAACCAGTGTAGTGGCATTTGGTTTCACTTCACTAATCAGTGTCGTGTTATTTAGTTTCTCTTGACTAACCAGTTTCGTGTCATTTGGTTTCTCTCGACTAACCAGTGTCGTCTCATTTGGTTTCTCTTGACTATCCAGTGTCGCGTCATTTGGCTTCTCTTGATTTACCAGTGTCGAGTCATTTGGTTTCTCTTCTCTTGACTAACCAGTGTCGTGGCATTTTGTTTCATTTGACTAAACAGTGTCGTGGTTTTTGGTTTCTCTTGACTCACCAGTGTCGCATCATTTGGCTTCTCTTGATTAACCAGTGTCGTGTCATTTGGTTTCTCTTGCCTAACCAGTGTCATGTCATTTGGTTTCTCTTGATTAACCAGTGTCGTGGCATTTGGTTTCTCTTGACTGGTTGAATTGTATTTGTTGCCTTCTTTTGGTAACTATTGTCTTGTCAACTGTTTAGTTAGTCTCAGATCAAATTGGAGACTCAGCATTAGATGTGTCTCTCTGGCTGGCTAATGGCATTTTTTATTTTATCACTACTAAATAATAGCATTGCGTTTTTTTGTAAAATAACTAGTTGGTTTCTCTGAGCTAACTGGTGTCATGTAATTTGTTTGTTTTTTTATCTAATTGGTGGTGTCATGCATTTGGTTTCTATAGGTTAACTAGTTGGTTTCTCTGAGCTAACTGGTGCCATGGTATTTGTTTTGTTACTTTGATCTAACTGGTGGTGTCATGCATTTGGTTCCTATATGTTAACTAGTTGGTTTCTCTGAGCTAACTGCTGCCATGGTATTTGTTTGGTTCCTTTGATCTAACTGTTTTTTTGCTAAAATAACTGGTGACATGGCATGTGTTTGGATTCGCTAGGCTAACTGGTGTCATGTAATTTGTTTTGTTTCTTTGATCTAACTGGTGGTGTCATGCATTTGGTTTTTATAGGTTAACTAGTTGGTTTCTCTGAGCTAACTGCTGCCATGGTATTTGTTTGGTTTCTTTGATCTAACTGTTGGTGTCATGCAATTGGTTTCTCTTGCTTAACTTGTGCCATAGCATGGGGGTCTCTGACTTAACTCGAGGTGTAGCATTTGTTTTTTCCTTGGTTAACTTGTGTCATGGAAGTCGGTTTCTGATGGTTAACTGGTATGTTTTTGTGGGCTAACTGGTACCATGGCATTTGGATAGTTTATCGCTGCTGAATGGTAACAACGTATTTGTTTGAATTCTTTGGGCTAGCTGGTGCATTATATTTGGTTTCTCCGGGCTAATGTGGGAGTGTAAACAATGCGGGTTTCGTCTATCAGGGGTTGTTATGGGTGGATGGTTCGTCAGGTTGAATATACGGGAAGCGGTTGTAACGGGGAATGGGTAACTCGCAAGGCAGTGAGTGTACACTTTGATCGCTCGACACTTATACGCACCATTCAGT